AATGTAAATATTTTTATAAACAAGACAAATTTTCTAATTTTTAAAACCATTTTATTAATAATAAAGCAATACATGTTTCAACCAACACTAGTCATCTTCAGTTAAAATCAAATATTTAAAATTTGTTAAAATATCTATACAGGTGTTAAAAAAAACAAACAATACAAAATATAATTATTCTTGTACAAACTAATAATAATATAACTACAATAATACAATAAAATCAGTTAAAAAGTTTATCATGTCATACAAAAGAAACAGAAAATAACAAAAGAATAGGTTAAAAAGTTATGCAATATTTATAAAAAATAGCAGCTAAACAGAAAGTGTCATTTGTACATGGTTAACATGTTTATTCATACCAGGTTTTAACCATTCTATAAACATACTTTCTTTAAGTTTTAGCTCAAATTTGTCAGATGCAAAATCTAACACAGAAAAACACTTACCATTTATTTGCATAAAACAATTTTCATTGGCATGGAGATGTTTATAGATGTAAGACTTTTTGTCCCTCTTGTAATGTTCAGATATCCGGTTCTTGAGATGGCGAGTAGTTTCGCCTATATAACAGGAGTTACATCCTGCACATACGAATTTATACAACACAAACAATCATGGTGTATACCTGGTGTATACGAATTTATACAACACATGTACATGGTGTATACAAATATATACAACATGAACAATCATGGTGTATGCATGTTTGATCATGATTATTACAACTAGAGTTATGTTTCAACAAAAAAATTATATCATTTAATATCATTAGGCTTACAAGAGGGTCAAATTTTGTGTAATATCCATAATGTAATACCCAATCCATAAGCTTTTTAATTTATTAAACAAAACTATTGAAAAAACAAGTTGAAAATAAAACTGTTTTCTACTAGTAAGTATGGGCTAACGTAATAGCAGCAGTTGCGGGGGACTCTAAAAATGTAGAATAGTACTCCATTGTGTCATAAACAATTCTAAAAATAATTTCTTTTAATATTTACAGTTAATTTTAAAGAGATTTAAGCAAATATAATTTTAGAAGATCCAAGTTTGAAAAAAGCCATTACTTATTGACACTTAAAAATGACATTTAAAACCATTTATTATCTGAATTTTTGCAACGTGATTTGGACCATAGATTGCATATTTGAAGGGGAGGAGAGAAGGGTGATACTTCTTCCCCCCCCCAAAAAAAAAAAAAAAAATTTGAAAGTCCTAAAATATCTTGAGGACCTTTTCCCTTTCCTCTCCTCACCAAATATTGAGTTGAATATTTGGTGAGGGGAGGAGGGGGAGAATATTGAGTCACTGAGTTGAAAGTTACAGGAGAAGAAGTTTATAGAACAAGATAACAATCGACAGACAACCTAAACGATTGCAAATTATATGAATCAGGAAAACAAGATAAAGGGAGCGAAGTCCAAAGAACTGATGTTCGAGGAAAAAAACTAGATGAATAAGAATTTTTGGGAGCACTTAGGAACAGTCACAGTAAAAAAATAAGACTTAATTGAATGATGAGTAACACAAGAATGAATTTTAGTAGATGGCATAAGAAACGCTAACTCTTTAGAGCAGTGCCCATTAAAGTATTTATAAAAGAGAGAAAGAGAAGCAACATTACAACAATGTAATAATGGTTGGAAGTTGGCTGCAAGAGCAGGTCCAACTATGCCTACATTGCGTTTTTGCACCTTGTCTAAAAGAGAAAGGGCATCATTGAAAGATCCGCCGCAGATATAACAACAGTATTCCATACAAGAAAGAATTTGAGATTTTTTTAATGTTAATTCACCTTCCCAAGGAAAAGAAGGCCACTATAGTTGAGGAGGCTACATTAGTTGTGGTTACAACCTTCTCTCAATTCTATAACTTCAAAATATGAAACTTGACAAACAAGATTGCTGCGCAAAGAAACAAGTTAAACACTGAGAATCATTAATAAGAAAAGTTTTGCAATGGATTTGATATATAGTTTCCAAGAAAGATCGGAAGTTTTTCATCTTCTAAAAGGATTTTTTCTAGAAGATGAAGGGTAGATGAATCATCGAGTACATTACCATGCATAAATATAGGAAGATGTAAATTATTGCAATAACAATTTGCTGAAAAAAAATTTAGTTTTATTCGATTTAAAGCACACCAGCCACTGAGAGTGAAATCCTTTTCAAGCTCAAATGGCCCCTCCAAGCAACCAGAGAGTGTTGGCTTCTTATCAAGACAAGAAAAAATGGTAGTATCATTAGCGAACAATGCCATCTTAGATGTGAGATTATCTGGAAGATCATTAATGTAAATTAAAGAGAGTATAGGGCCAAAGATAGAACTTTGAGGAAACCTTGAAGTTAAGGAATATGAAAAAGAGTGCTGTCCATCGAGGACAACTTTTATACTACAATTGGTAAGAAAGGATTCAATAATCTTAAAAAAGTTACCTAATACAACATAAGAGGAGAGCTTATGGAGAAGATCACATGCCAAAAATTTATTAAAAGCTTTAGAAATGTTGAGAGCAATAGCTTTAACCTCTCTACCTCTATTAAATACCCAATAAAACCTATTAGTTATTACTGTTAGCAAATCAGCTGTAGAACAAGAATTTTACAATGATTAATTAATAATTATTGCTAGAAACATTTTACAATTATTGCTAGAAACATTTTACAATGGTTTCTAGCATTAGTAAACAGACATCTGTTTTCTGGAGAATTGTTTTGTTGATAGATATGAAAGTAATGATTATGCTTAAAATTGTAGCAACACAATGAGTGGAAAACAACGGAGAAAAGTGAGGCTTGACTTGGAATCATCAAGAGGGAATAAAAGATTTCATGCCAGCTGGAATCCAAGAAGTTATGTAAGAAGCACATTTGTCAGCAGGAAGGTGAAAGATTTCTACAAAGGCACATCACGGTAAGGTAGTTGTAAAAGGTACATTGATAGGGGGATTCAGATGATGAAGAAGAATAAGATAATAGTTTTAGAGAGATCAAACCATGATCAAAAGCACCTAAAGGTGAATGTGGAGAAACTGAGCACTGACTTGGATCAGAAACAAGACATAAGTCAAGTAGAGAAGGTAAATGATTCGAATTGTCTGAAAAGCGAGTTGGAAAGTTGACTATTTGTGTGCAATTGTCTCATAAGTATTAATAAACCCTAAGCCATAACAAAGAGCTCCAAATGTGGCCTCGATAATGCACATCAAAGGTACGCACAGGGACACCATCCATATGCAACGTGGCAATGATATTTTACAGTTGTTGATGGAATTAGCCTCTATAAGAGCTTCCACAGAGTTCAGGAAACCTGACTACCAGCTGGCCTCAGAACCATAAAACTGAGATTTTCAGAGCTGTACCCTCATTAGGAGATAATAGAATAAGTTGCCTAGTAGTATTATAAATACATCTATGCCAGCCTAAAAGATGAAGAAAGGGTGCAAGGCTGGTAAACAGATAGAATCTGTTTACCCTTTAAGCCTTTGCCTAGAAGGCTTTCTACAAGATAATAGCCAGATGAATTTAATGTCTGCCCAAGATGAATATTTTTATTGATACGCCATCTCTAGCCTTTACTCAACCAAGAGCTTAGAACAATCTTTGTTTTTAATAACTCTTATGTTAACTCTCTAAACTAAAACATATTCACATTGAAAATCTATATAAAATAAGTAACAAGAAAAAAAAAAAAAAAAAAAACAACAACCAACATTTAAAATAATATACATAATAGTATACATATGAATGCTTATGAAGACAAAAAGAAACATTATTACGTTCTAATGCATGTAAAGTCTGTAGAATATTTTAACATAATTACAAAGTAAACGGCGACAATTTTATTTTTATGTGTTATTGTTAAGTTAAATTTGCCTAAAGTTTATGAAAACTTATTTGGAGAAAAAAATTTAATGCAACAGTTTTAATGAACATTACTAAGAAAAAATTGCACATCTTTACCTTTTAAATCAGATACAAAATTTTTGCAATCAAAAATTAAATGTTGAGTCAACGCTAGAATACAATGCATATTTAATTTCAGATGCCAAAGTTGAGCCAATGTTAGACCAATGGTTGGCTACAACATCATACTGACTATCAAATCTACATTGGGCCAATATAAAAATATTTTGACTTTTAAACAATTGCAAACTTTTTTTTTTCCTTTGTTAATGAAAAATAATGGCTTTTTAAGATATTTTGTATTACAATGTTGGTATCCCTATTATTTTAATTGCTAATTATTGTGTATTGTTTTGCAAATATTTATTATAATATATAGTACTGTTTAGTATACCATTTGTGATGGATAAAATTTATTGATGTCACTCTTTGCAGGATATAATAAGAAAGTTTACATTTATTACATAATGCTTCTCATTTGACAACTATAATGATTCGTTTATTTATGTTTAATTCAGGGGTATGGTTTTTATGATGTAAAAAACAAAGATTATTTGGTAAATAATCTTTGTTTTTTACATCAACGAATTAAAATAATTAGAACATGTAAGGAGTGTGCATACGTCATGTGAGGAGTGTGCATACATCATGTGAGGAGTGTGCATACATCAACTGACTTAAATAAGTGAAGATGTGCAGATTGTACATAGATTGACTGAGGGTTTTGGATTGGGTGAACAATTTTAAAAAATTAGCAATATTAATAATACAAACAATGTAATAGTATATTAAGTATATCTTTTATACATTGTTTATAAAGTATATCTTTTATATATTGTATATAATGTATATCTTTTATATATTGTATATAATGTATATCTTTTATATATTGTATATAAAATAAATCTTTTAATTATAACTATAGCAAAAACTCTTTTTATATATACATATATACATACACTCTTTATAATATAATATTTATTTTTACAATCACATTACATGGTGAATTAAGTCAATGTTAAAATGATTGCCTGTAAAAAAAAAAAATATTCTGCAGCAAAACGTATCATAATTTTTTTAAAAAATTTTTACCAAAACTTTTTCTGAAGCTCCTTATATTGTTCAATAACTCTTGCCAAATCACACTCAAATGATAGATTTTCATCACTAAACAATCACATTAAATTATAATTTTAATGTAAACATCACTAAATAAGAACTGTTATATAAAGAATCATCTATACAAAATTATAAGTATGCATATTTTAAAAATCATTCACATAATTCTATAAATAAATATATCATGGTGATTTGGAAAAATTTTCTTTTAAAATACAATTTATTAAGACAGCAAATAATCTCAAACTGTTTTAATCATAAACAAATTTATTTAGCACCAACTTCATAAGAACTTGTTTCCATTATTAGCACTATAAGTGTAAGGCTCTTAAATTTAAAAATTTTGTTTTTAGTGGAATTTAATGTTTTTTAGATTTAAAAACTAACAAATCTTTAGAATATTTTTCAGGGTTGGCATTAAAAAACCTGTCCAATAAAACCCGCCTAAAAAACCCAATAAAACCCAAGAAAATCTGGGTTTTATTGGGTTTTTTTAAAGATATTTAATAAGTTTATGAACTATTATAACCAACTTTAACATTATAACTATAATATTATTAACTAAAATAATTATTAACTATTATTATTAACTATTACTATCAACTATTATAACCAACAATAACAGCTATCAGAGCAGGTTTACTAATATTTGAATCATTATTTGGAAATACATTATTACAATTTCTATTCAAATATTTTTATCAATTGATATTTTTAAATCTTTTATGTTATTCACTTCCCAAGGTGAATTTAAATGAGTTGTATTGGCCAGAGAAAGCCACTACAGTCAAGGAGGCTACCTTATTGTGGTTACAACCCTCTCTTAACTCTTTAACTCCTAAACAGGAATCTTTATAAACAAGGCCGCTGCACAGAGAAACAAATTTGTTCATTTGAATTTCAAGTTCAAAGTTTAATTGAAACTTCAGTTACTACCTCCCATTCTCTAGCCTTCTTTTTCCCATTTCTCATTGAGATTTTTAATAATATAATACTTTTATATTTAAAATAAATCAATACATATAGATTTAACATGAACATTTTTTTTTCTATTACAGTTTTGAAATATATTTAAAATTTTTTTTTCAAAATAATTTGAATAATTCTTGTTATGAATTATTGAATAACAATATATAAAATATATTTTAAATAAAGTTAAAATAGAAAATGAAACTAATTTTCAATATCATTAAACAAAAATAAAAATTTTTTTTTAAAGAGACGAAATAAAAATAAAACCCAAAAAAACACAAATTTACCCAATAAACCCAAAAGTACCCACTAGACCAGGTTTTTTTAAAAAAACCTGGGTTTTTGCCAACCCTGCCAACTCATTTAAAAAACTCAGACTCAGACTAACATAAATTGTTACAAATTATCTACAAATAAATTTATTTCAGTAAAACTTTTGAATTTTTTATGACAGTTTTAAAAAATATTAGTAAAAAATTTTATTTTCACAACATTAAAACAAAATTTTACAGTTAAAAGACGACTGTAAGTAGAATAAAAAAAAAATCTAAATGGCAATTATTTTTCTATATTTTGATGAGTATATACAACTTTTTCTACAACATTTGATAAGTATAGTTTAGAATAAATTTTTTAAAATTTAACTATTAATTAAATTTATTTTTTTACAAATTATGCTTTAACGCTATATTGATCATGAAAACTAAAAATAAAGTTGCAGTTTGCATATTCCAACCTTAATAAATAAAATAAGCAAATATAATTTATTATATATCTAAAAAAAGTCAAAATTGGGTTGAAATTTTCATTTTTTTAAAATGACTGGCAAGAATCTTTCATTTTTTTGATTGCAGACAAAAAATATTTGGCTGCTATCAAAAAAAAATGCATTGAATGCAAATTGACCAGAACATTTAAGAACGGCCCCCTCTTCATAGATAGCCAATGTACTTTATTATACAACAATAGATCAGAATATATGCCATTATCTTCATCAAGTAATTTTGAAATGATTTAATGCTTTTAAGAAAATTTTATTGACTATTTTACTACCAAATCCATTACAGCTTGAATCTTAAAAGTCAATACTTGTAGAGTGCTTTGATAAATGTAGAGTGCTTTGTTAAAAAGTGAAGTTCAAGATTTAACTTCTTATTATTCGATAATATTGATAGCTACATATTTTAGCTGCTAAAACATAACTATAAACTAATAGCAATTTTATTATTATTACATTATTGTGGCTAATCAATAGCTAGCAATATTATTATTATTATATTATTGTGGCTAACCAATAGCCAGCAATATTATTATTATTATATTATTGTGGCTAACCAATAGCTAGCAATATTATTATTATTATTATTATTATATTATTGTAGCTAACCAATAGGTAGCAATATTATTATAATTATGTTATTGTAGCTAAACAATAGCTAGCAATATTATTATTATTATTACATTATTGTGGCTAACTAATAGCTAGCAATATTATTATTATTATTATTATTATAACTATAACATAAAAACATAAAGTCTGTTCAATAGCTACATATTGCAGATTAGCAGCTATTGACATGGTTGTTTTAAATAAAACTATTAAAATAATAAAAAAATATATAACCACAAGCAAAAAATTAAAAAAGTTTGATTGGTATAAATACAAATCTGGCATTTTGAATAATAAAGCACATTGAATTAAGATGGTTTACAATTTACCACCAGAATTTATTCAAAATAGTTTCTATAAAACTATTAACAAAAATACATTGAAATTTAACACATGACTACTAGACTAACTGGGATTCTTTGAATTAATGCCTTACTTTTTTTCAAGAAAATTTGTTTCTGTCACGATTTATTGTCAAATACTATAGCTCTTTATTATAATATAACTACATCTCTATTAGTATATCTCATAAAGATTAACCTAATATTGCTCTTGCACAATTCAGATCTTTATCAAGAACTTTTTATCACTTAACTGATACAAATTCCTCATACAAAGACATTCTACATGACATCTCTATCAACAAAATAAATCCATTGTCAGGCATTTTAGTCACCCCTGCTATTGTGACATAAGTTATTTCTAATTTGACCTCATCTACAGAAAACAACAGCAGTCTATTTCTAAAAAACAACAACAATCTGTCATTCTTATTTTTATAAAATATGGATATTACTCTGATCCTTCTAATAACTGATCAATAAGTCTTCTTACTTTTTACATAAGTCTTCTTACTTTTATAATAACTGATCAATAAGTCTTCTTACTTTTATAATAACTGATCAATAAGTCTTCTTACTTTTATAATAACTGATCAATAAGTCTTCTTACTTTTTACATAAGTCTTCTTACTTTTATAATAACTGATCAATAAGTCTTCTTACTTTTATAATAACTGATCAATAAGTCTTCTTACTTTTATAATAACTGATCAATAAGTCTTCTTACTTTTATAATAACTGATCAATAAGTCTTCTTACTTTTTACATAAGTCTTCTTACTTTTATAATAACTGATCAATAAGTCTTCTTACTTTTATAATATATTTTATGAAATACTTTTATTAATTAAGTCTTATTTTATGATCATTTACCAGTGACTTTTCCTGAAAATTGTTGATAATCATATTCTGTAGATCTTGTTGAATTGTTTTTAAACTTCTACGCAATGTTCTGTATTTGAAGTTAATATTTGGTTAAAAATATTTAAGAATATTATTTTTTAAATTCAGGTTATTTAAGAGAATTTTAAAACACTGGTATTTGCTATGTGGCTTTTGCAAGAGAAAAATCTAGATAAATCAGTGTTTTTAGAGCCAAAAAAAAATCACTCTAAAAGAATTTTTTTTATTTAAATTTGATTACTTTTTAGAGTAGCAGTGACCTGCTTAGATATGTCAACAATATTTTTTGTAACTACAACATGTATTTAAATACATGGATAAATATCAACATCTGCTAAGCTTGCATCACTTCATCATGTCATTTTCCTACTTTTTTCTTTATCCTTTTATTATTTACTATAAATTCTCATTTGTAGTTGCAAAAAATATTAATTTTGATAATGTAAATATATTAGTAAATAATACCATACAAAATTAATATCAGACTTCAAATGCTCAAAAAAAATAAGCAATCTATTGAGATTGTTTACTTAATTAAACATTTGTATATTATGTAGTAATTAAGTCTTACATTGTTTGATTGTTATATTTGCTAATATGCCCTTATTAAAAAAAAGCCCTATACTGAACCTAATTTTAAGGAAAATTTAAAAATTTTCAAATTATTATTTACGATGTTTCCCAGATCCCATTCACCTGATGATTCATAATTTATTTATTTGTAATTCATTTTTTATCTGCATTATTTTTTCTAAATACATGATTTATTTATCTAGACATCATATAGCACTATATCAGAATGCTTGCAAAATTCTTTAATATACACTGTTTTTCAAGTTCAATTTTTTGACATAATCTTATGGCAAAAGAATTGTTTATCTTTTTTCATTTTGCTAATTTGGTTCAGAGGTTTAAATAAATAGGTGAATAAGGTTTCATTTCTGCCCCCTGTACGGTGAGTATCATAATTCTTTTTGTTCTTCTTGTTGATTACCAACAAGAAAAAAAAATTTACTTAATAATTTAAAGATATCCTTTCTCTTTATATATATGTATGTATATATAGATATTATGGTGCTTTAAAAATCACTACTCAGTGTTGTTAATGTGGTGTGGTTATTTTTTGTGTTAATCAAAGTCAATAATTCAAAGATATCCTTTCTCTTTATATATATATATATATATATATATATATATATATATATATATATATATATATATATATATATATATATATATATATATATATATATATATATATATATATATATATATATATATATATATGTATATATAGACATTATGGTGCTTTAAAACCTCTTTAGATAGAAAATTACGACTTATTGCTGTTAAAATGGTGTGGTTATTTTTGTGTTAATTCTTATTTAGATTCTACTGCAGAAAAGATTTAAATAAAATTTCCCTTCATTTGAGTAATAAATTGATCTTTTTAATAAAACATTTTAGGGACCATTTAAACAATATTAGGGACGTGTTGAATAGAAAATGAGCATAAGTATGAACTAAATATTAGACAATTAAACTTAAATTAGACTTGAAATTTCAAATTATGTATCTGGGATTATCAAATTATTTCTTTCTAACTGTTTTATTAAAATCATCGTTGCTTACTTATTTATTTCCAGTAACTTCTGGAGTCTCAAGTAACTTCTGGATCTCAAGGTTCGTGGTTTTGTTTCTTATCTACATTATTGATCTTCCCGACAACCCTACATCTATAACTCTTTTTGCTGATGACTCAAGTTTTTACTCTTGTCTTGACCAAAAGTCTTCTCTTTTTGAGCACTTAGAACAGGCAGCCAATTTTGAATGTGATCTCACTTCTGTAACAGATGGGGTTCACATATTTTGGCTTATAAATTTTAACTTCAACAAAACTCAATTATTTACTGCAAACAACTACCACAATACTGTTGACATTCCTATATTAATAAATGGCAACCCTCTCACTGAGTCCTCTTGTTTACATCTTCTTGGATTATCATTTACTACTGACCTTTCAACAAAACATGTAAACAAAATATACAATCCATTGCTAAATTAGCACCCCTTATTATTATTGTCATTTTCTTACCCTTGATTCCATTCTCTACCTCTACAAATATATCTTTTTGTCCCTGTATGGAATGCTGTTGTCATATTTGGGCTGGTTCTTCTTATGATGCCCTTTTTCTTCTAAACAAGCTTTATCTACTAAGCTTAAGCCTCTTTTCCATTGTCATAAAGTTGCATCTCTTTCTCTTTTTTACAAATTATATCATGGTTGCTGCTCAAAAGAGTTATTATCTCTAGTTCCATCAACAAAAACTCATTCTTGCTTGACTCGTCATTCAGCTAAGTCTCCTTCATTAATTGTTAAATGAAAATGATGCTATTGGGAGATCACAAATGCTATAACTGGATTATTACGGTTCCAATCATATGTTGAATTAAATATTATTTAATTCAACATATGATTGGAACTGTAAGTGCGCTGTATTATTATCAGTTTATTTATTATTAGGATATTTTTAAAAATTTATTTAGCTATATGTTATTATTTATTATTAATTTTATTAATGTAACGTAACATTTTTTATTTCAGTTAGAGCATAAAAATAAAATTGTTCACACTGCGTTTTGATGATAAATACTTCATAGTTATAAGGTTGTCCCAAAAAACATTATTTTAAAAAAATATAGCTGCCACCTTTTAATGTGTTTTATATGATAAAAAAACACTGGTTAAAAAATTTTTTTGAAGAAAAAATATTTTTGAAGTCCCTTAAACATAACGAGTTCCTAATATTAACAATAAAAAAAAATTTCAAAAGTGTATCTTATCATTTCGTCTCAAATTAAGCGAAATCATGAAAATTTCAATTATGATAATTATTTTGTAAAAAACTTATTGAAACTAAAAAAAAATATTGCAAAAAATTAGTAAAAATGCACATTTTTCTTTTTTAGTTAATAAACTTCATTTTTTATGGTGTTAAATCTAACATTGAAATTTTCATATAATTTTGCTTCATTTGAGACCCAACATGATACACTTATTTTTTTATAATATTAGGAACTTGTTACGTTCCTTGGGGGTCTCAAAGGAACATAACAAGTTCCTAAGGGTCTTGAGGGAGTCATCAAAATATTTTTTATTCAAAAATGTTTAAAAAACAGTTTTTTTTATTATATAAAACACATTAAGCATATATTGTTCAAAAATGTTCTTTTTGGAAAACCCTATTAAATGATAATATTTTTTTTAACTTTAGATAAATATGTTTTATATTGATGATATTTTTCTTATCATAGCTTCAAATTTATTTCAATATAAAAATTTACTTTAATTGTTATGACTTTTTCCTAATATATTGAAGTGTTTTTTACTTTTATTATCTTTGTTACTATATATATATATATATATATATATATATATATATATATATATATATATATATATATATATATATATATATATATATATATATATATATATATATATATATATATATATATATATATATATATATATATATATATTCAGAAAAATAGTAAATAACAAAATAATGAAACTGCTATATAAGGAAATAGTCATAATAGTAAAAACAAATTTTTATATGGAAAAAAAGTTGAAGCAATGACTAGAAAAATATCATACATATAGAACATATTTATCTGAAGTTTAAAAAAAAATTATTGAAATCCTACAGTCAAATTTTTAGAGAATTGATTTCAAATAAATAAACAAACCTATGATTTACACTAAAAAGGGTATTAAATAAAAATAAAGTTTAAGCGCGCAAAGACTTTTGTTACCTCTATTCATATTTTTGCGAAATTTTTGTTTTATTATATTAATTTACGTTAAAAATAAGGCTACATCATTGTCTTTTTAGAAATTAATTAACAAATAAACTGTTGTGTGAAAAAAATTTCAGTGATGTATTTTACATTTTCCTTTATTACATTATTTTTTTAGTTTACTTTGCTAAACATAAACAAATAAACATTAAATAAATTTAAATTTAACATTTTCCATATTTACAACTATAAATAAAATATTCACATATTTTTGAAAAAAAAAATCACTGTTGAATTTTTTAAGTCATATAAATAAATAAAAAAGTGCTAATTTGTTGCCTTTAAAATATTTTAAAAGTAGGAATGTTATTTATTTTTACAATGTATGTCACAATAAAAAAATATTTTATATCAAATTTAAAACAACTTTTACATAAGCTATTTTCATAATAACACAAACAAATTATTATTATTATTATTATTATAAACAAATTATTATTATTATAAACAAATTATTATTATTTAACTGCATTATTATAATATTTACCTACATTAAAATGTAGTTACTAATAAAAATATTTACCTTCATTAAAATATAGTTACTAATAACAATATTTAACTACACTGAAATGTAGTTAATAATAACAATATTTACCTACATTAAAATGTAGTTACTATTAACAATAATTTACCTATATTAAAACGAAGTTACTAATAATATTTACCAACATTAAATTTTTTAATAAACAAAGTTTAATTTGTATTGATACAGTAATATAATGCACAAAACTGATTATTCTTATGTAAATTAACCAAACATTTGACTAAACCAAACATTGCATATAAAAAAAAAAAAAAAACCATAAGCCAAAAAATATTACCTTAGCAATAAGCTTAGATTATGTTGTGACAGTAACATACAGTCATTTAATATATGAATTTAAAAAATATATTAAGTAACCTGCTTTGCTTTTCTTGCTTTTTCAGCTTTTGATTCAAATTGTTTAGATAATCTTGAAGTCTGTAAAAAAATTATAATAACTAAAAAACGCAAAGTATGTATAAAAAATTAAAATTATACAAAGATTTTTTTTTATGAAGTTATATACACATTACTTTTTATGAAGGTATATATACACCATTACTTTTTATCAAGTTATATACACCATTACTTTTTATGAAGGTATATACACATTACTTTTTATGAAGTTATATACACCATTACTTTTTATGAAGTTATATACACCATTACTTTTTATGAAGTTATATACATCATTACTTTTTATGAAGTTATATACAACATTACTTTTTATGAAGGTATAAACACATTACTTTTTATGAAGTTATATACAGTGTATATAACTTCATAAAAAGTAATGTTGTATATAACTTCATAAAAAGTAATGGTGTATAATATACACCATTACTTTTTATGAAGTTATATACAACATTACTTTTTATGAAGGCATATACACCATTACTTAAAGTTGTAATAAAATGTAAAAATAAAAGTTGAATACGAAAATAAAATGTATGCAAATTTTTTCTTTTTCAAGTCTTACGTTAATACCCAACTTTACTGACGCTGTTTAGCATCCATGTACCCAGGTAACCACTTAATCCAAAGTTTAAATTTTTGTTTCAATGAAAGAAAATTTATATTTAAAATTACCTTCATTTTTATTCTATCAATAACTTTTTTTTGGTGGTTATTATGTTTCTGGGTGCTCCCAGAAGTTCTCGTGGTCTTAGCACTGAGCGCTGAGCACTGAGCGCAGAACATTTAACTAAGAAGTTCACACTTTCTTCCTTACCAATGTCTCTTATTGGACTAGGACCAATGTTGAACTTCTAATATCTTGGTTCTGAAATGCAGACCACCCAAATTTGCATTGGTAATTGAATTGTTACATTCAATTACCAATGCATATTTACATACCAGAAAATTATTCATTTTTTGGTATTTTGATTTGCACTGACACTAATATATCCAATATTGATCATATTTGACATGTGGAACCAAATTTACAATCTATTGTAAATCAATGGGTTTTAATAGATCCAAAAATATTATTGTTTTTTAAGATTTGATGACAGTAATACACACAGTCAATGTAAGAAAAAAGATAATATTGAAGAATGATAAGATGTGCTATTCTAGGAATGAAGACTGTGCATTAAGTGCCAATTTGCCCCAGATGTTTAAGCCTACAGCAAATTTAACTATCAATGAACAACTATATCCATTTTAAGGTTGTACAGAATTTACTCAATATAAACAATTAAAACTTAAAATGGCATCAAATACGGTAATGATTTTGCAACAAAAAATATTTGTGATTATAAAAATCTTTTGAAGGGTATAATCTACACTAATAAAACAAATGATACCTGGCAAAGAAATCAGGGAGAAAGCAAAGAAATCAGGGAGAAGTGTTGACACTATGGACCAAATGCTCAGAAGTTATCAAAGTCAATGACGATGTTCAAGATGGGCAGCAACTATGTTTAAGATGGCCTGCAACTTCAAAATGTTGGACATCACTGCGGTTTCATCATGTTCAGTTTATTATGAAATTAGTAAAATTATTGAGAAGAAAAAAATGGAAGGGCCTCATTTTATGTGCAAATTAAATCAAGAACTTGTCCCGCAAATTATCAAATCATGATAAAACCTCAAGTGATGCGCAATCGTATCACTAAAACTGCCATTTAAAGTAAGTATGCCATCAAGTAACAACAATCACAGAAGATCCTGGTCAGTAAGTTCAGTGAGACACAAGAAAGTGTTGGATTCTTTAGCTTGTTTAACTACACAGATCCAGACTATATTGTTAAAACTCATTCAATTACCACAATACTGATAAAAAAAAGATACAACCAGGCAGTTAATGTTAAAATAACGATCCTAACTGAAATGTGGCCTAGTAATCAAAACATTGCGTATATAATACACAGTAGATACATGGTTATGGGTAGATTGTGTATCTGCCCATTACCATGGGCAGATACACAATCTACCCATTATCATTATCATAATTTGCAAAAATGTCATTTCTACTGAAATAAACATTATTACCAGGAAGGATACAGTGTTTTGTACACTGTATCAATTTTGGGCCAAAACATCTGTAATAGATCCACATTAAAAGCTTTGAAGAACCTATTCAAATTGAAACATATTCTGCTATCAGAGCAGAAATGGAAGTCATTGTTATGTCATTATTGGAAGAAAGTAGTAGCAGAGAAATCAACACCAAAGTGAGCATGGATGCAGTTATAATCAAACTTACTGAAGGAGAACATGTATAATGAACTGGCATTGCTGTGCACAGTTGACAAAGGATTTGGATGTACTTGTGTCTTACCTTTTGAAATTACTATCAACTTTCAACAAAAACATCTTAGATATTTGGCAAGATAACACCAAAAGTTACCCAAAGTTTGCTATTTTAGTACACAAGTACATGTGCATACCTTCACATATCATCAGAATGTGCTTTTTTGTCTACTAGACAACTGAGGTTTATGGAGGGAGAATATATTGAAAACATTTTTTTCTAAAGACATCTGTCACCTATAAAATTAAAATAAGAATCAGTTTTTCATACTTTCTCAAAACTTTAGTTGAAAACTTTAGTGACTACAGGTGAGGAGTTGTTTTTGTTTTAACATTTTTTAACTGTTAAAATCCTTTTTTTTACTTGTTACAACCCCTATTTTTAATTGTTACAATCCTTTTTTAGTTGTTACAATCCCTTTTTTAGTAGTTATAATCCCTTTTTAATTGTTACAATCTCTTTTTAGTTGTTAAAATCCTTTTTTTAATAGTTATAATCCTTTTTTAATTGTTACAATCTCTTATTAGTTGTTACAATCTCTTTTTAGTTGTTACAAATCTCTTTTTTAGTAGTTATAATCTTTTTTTAATTGTTACAATCTCTTTTTAGTTGTTACAAATCCTTTTTTTAATAGTTATAATCCCTTTTTAATTGTTACAATCTCTTTTTAGTTGTTACAAATCCATTTTTTAGTAGTTATAATCCTTTTTTAATTGTTACAATCTCTTATTAGTTGTTGCAATCTCTTTTTAGTTGTTACAAATCCCTTTTTTAGTAGTTATAATCCTTTTTTAATTGTTACAATCTCTTTTTAGTTGTTAGAAATCCTTTTTTTAATAGTTATAATCCCTTTTTAATTGTTACAATCTCTTTTTAGTTGTTACAAATCCATTTTTTAGTAGTTATAATCCTTTTTTAATTGTTACAATCTCTTATTAGTTGTTGCAATCTCTTTTTAGTTGTTACAAATCCCTTTTTTAGTAGTTATAATCCTTTTTTAATTGTTACAATCTCTTTTTAGTTGTTAGAAATCCTTTTTTTAATAGTTATAATCCCTTTTTAATTGTTACAATCTCTTTTTAGTTGTTACAAATCCTTTTTTTAGTAGTTATAATCCTTTTTTAATTGTTACAATCTCTTATTAGTTGTTGCAATCTCTTTTTAGTTGTTACAAATCCCTTTTTTAGTAGTTATAATCCTTTTTTAATTGTTACAATCTCTTTTTAGTTGTTAGAAATCCTTTTTTTAATAGTTATAATCCCTTTTTAATTGTTACAATCTCTTTTTAGTTGTTACAAAGCCTTTTTTTAGTAGTTATAATCCCTTCTTTAGTAGTTATAATCCCTTTTTAATTGTTACAATTCCTTTTTAGTTGTTACAATCCCTTTTTTTTTAATTGTTACAATCCTATTTCAATTCTATAGCCATAAAACACAAGCTTAAGAGAGAAAACAAAGAAAAAACAAAGCTGCTGCACACAAACTGAGCGTGTTACTACTAGGGCTTATATTACTACTAGTATTATTCTAATACTAGTAGTACACAATTACCATTATTGTTATACAGTTTCAGAGCAAATTATATTATAAAATCTGAAGCAAATAGATTTATAAAATCTGAAGCAAATTGGATCACTACTAGCATTATTATTGTTACTAGTATTATTGTTATATAGTTTCAGAGCAAATTGGATAAGGCACAAGTATGTTTAACCAAGATTTTTATATAAAACTCTGGTAAATTTTTGTACATTTGTTGTTTTTTTTCCCCTACATTAGCTACATAATTGTTTTAACTTGATTTCTAACATAAAAAATCCTCATAAACAATTTAAATTCAAATTAATTCATTTTACATATTTACATATAGAATCAACAAATTGTTATCATGTGAGATAACAAATTGTTATCATGTGAGATAAAAAATTGTTTAAACTTGTTTTAATTTTTGTCAGATTTTTATAAATTTTTCTACCTAGTAATTTTTCGCTTTTGTTGAGACTTAGTAATCATGTTTTCTTCATCTCTTTTCTTCAACACCTGTAAACAAAAAAAAAGGTTTGATATACCTATATTAATTTTTAGTATAACTAATAATGACTGGATTACAAATAAATAAAAAACTATTTTTCATAAATTTTACAATAACACATTAATTATTGCATTATATGTATAAATTATATATGTACAAATGTACATACTACTTTTTACTACACAAAAAAAAAAATAATGAACAAGAATGTGTAGAAAATGTGCTTCATTGTTTAGGATGATTTTTTCGAGCAAAATCATCCTAAACAATGAAGCACATTTTCATCTTGATTGTTTTGTTAATTGCCAAAATTGTCGCCTTTAGGGTTCTGAAAACTCATATGTGATTGTCGAAAAATAAATGCATCCATAACGTGTCACTGTTTAGTGTGCATTTTGGGCTGGAGGCATAATTGGACCATACTTTTTTAAAAAAGAGGCTGGTCAAGCAGCGACTGCTACTGTTGCTTGATATTGCGACATGATAACACAGTTCTTTTTGCCGAAATTGGATGATATTAATGTGGCCAATATGTGGTTTCAACAAGACGGTGTCACATGCCATACAGCCTGTGAAACACTTCAATTACTGCATGAGACATTTCCAGGTCGTGTATTCTCTTGTTTCGGTGATCAGAATTGGTCCCCTAGATCATGTGATTTAACACCATTAGATTTCTTTTTATGGGTTATTTAAGATCACACGCCTACATCAACAAGCCCACAACCATGCATGCATTAAAGGAGAAGATTCAACATTGCATCAACAAAATTCAGCCACATTTATGCAGAACGGTCATGGAAAATTTTGACAAACGAGTGCGTATGTGTATGCAAAGCCGCGAAGGCCATTTGCCTGATGTGTTATTCCATAAATATCCATATCCTATTTACTTTATGAATCAATAAAAAAATTACAGTCAGAAGAATAAAAACTGTGTTTTCTATTTAATTCAAATCTTGCGTTAATTTTGGGACACCCTGTATATATATATATATATATATGTATATATATATATATATATATATATATATATATATATATATATATATATATACATATACATACACATACATATACATATACATATAATATAGTATATTATATATATACATATACAAATATAATATAGTATATTATATATATATATATATATATATATATATATATATATATATATATATATATATATATATATATATATATATATATATATATATATATATATATATATATATATATATATAATATATAATATACTATATTATTATGATATACATACATATATATATATATATATATATATATATATATATATATATATATATATATATATATATATATATATATATATATATATATATGTATATAAGATACTTTTTTACTAATTTGGTATATTATTCACAGAATATTGCAAACTATTCATCCAAATATTGAATAATAATAAAAAAAAAAGAACAAAGAACTAAATATTACTATTTTATTTTTATCTTTTTATTTCAACTAATAATTGACATATTTGATACTTAAAGTCTATAGGTGGTAAGTTATAATAAAAATATTTACATAGTTTGATGACAGCAAATGATTGCACTTTTTTCATAAATTATACATACTTCCAAAAAAAGCTATTCACTATGTACACTGCCACAAGCAAATTATAAGAAAACTTTAGCAAATTCAATTAGGATAATGATTTGTGTTTGCTGACCACTACTTGTAAAGGTTTGCTGTCCAATTTAAGCAAACAGTTCACAGTTATCCAAAAAGGGTCCTAACCTCTTCGGAAATGAAACAAAAAATCCCTTGGTGTGATTCTATAGGTAATAGGGATCACTTTAAAGAAAAAATTAAAATTTTTTAATTACGTCTGCAGGAGAAAATTGCATTTAAAGTTTCTGCCTGGATACACCAAAAACCGTTATTTTCAAACAGTGTTTGTGTAGCCAAAAAATTGAAAAAATACTTTTTTTTGCCTTACATTTTACAAATATTACAAACTAATATCCCTTAGATTCAAAATTATGTTTTAATAAAGAATATTTGTATATACATTCTAGTACTAGTATATCAATACACAATATATCAAATTTCTTTTGATTTTTTAGTACGATAAAAAATCAAAAGAAATTGATATTAAAATTTTATTCTTAAGCATGGCATTATTTAAAACAAAATTGTAAATGACCAATGTATATATTTTAAATAACAACATCTTGTATGATATTTGAATTAATTTAATATATAAACATCAATGAATACAAGTTCTCACAATACTAATTTATTTTTTTTTTTTTTTTTAATCTTAAGAAGTTTTTGCTAGATTTTTGACAATAGTATTATCAGCTTTAATTTCAGTGTTGAAAGTTTTTCAGTGCCGAAAATCTCACTGAAAATTTTGAGAAATGTTTGAAAAATAAAATCACCGATAAAACTGTTTATATAAATGTTATTTTTTATTTAATGAAAAAATTCATGAGCTTGTGGATTCAGGTCCAATAGGACTTTCACTCATGGTAATACTTGCAAATGTTTTTCTGCCATTTTTAAAAAAATAAAGTAACTGACATGGAACTAAAAATAGATACAAAGAGTAAAAATTACAAAACCTTACTAATATTGTTTTAAAAAAACAATACCCAAATAAAAGAAATAGTCATATATATATATATATATATATATATATATATATATATATATATATATATATATATATATATATATATATATATATATATATATATATATATATATATATATATATATATATATATGTATATATATATATACATCATATATATATATATATATATATATATATATATATATATATATATATATATATATATATATATATATATATATATATACATCATATATATACATCATATATCAATATATATAACAATAACATATCACTACGGTGTATCCTAATATTATCACTGAAACTTTGAAAAATCTTTAGGAAAGCAGGTTACAAGAATCTAGTGCAAATCTTATTTCTTTGCTAACCTCACGCAACAAAACAAAACTATCATCAAATAGAAAAGTATACTTAAATCCCAGAGTATATCTAATAGATTGCGAGCGTAAACAAAAATAAATTGGCAAAACAAAAATGAAAATAGCAACAAGAACAAAAACAACATTAGAAAAATGTATTTGAAAAAAATGGGAACAATCTGCAATTGGGCATCATAAAAACAAATGTCCATACAATGTAAAATAGGAGCAAGTGAAAAAAATAAAAATAGAATCTAAAAAATTTTAAAGAAAAGTTTGAGTATTAATTGAAATTCAGTTTAAAAAATGCAGACCTAAGAACAGAAGTATGAATTTAGATAATGGTTAATATGTTAAAACACAACTCTGGATACCATATTTTTTATACTTACATAACATTAAAGAAGCCCAATTAAAGTGAACTTTAAAGAATTCATAAAAAAGTGAAGTTATCATTTGATTGTAATTAAATATAATTAATGGTTTAATATGCATTATGATTTTGTCCAACACCAATAGTATTTATCGAAAGGAGAAATAGAAGCAACATTACAATGATGTAACAATGGTTGAGGTTAGCTGCACTAGCAGATCAATATATATTTACAATTCACTTTTGTACTTTGTCTAAAAAAGAAAGATCATCATTTGAAGATCTGCTCCAAATATGGCAACAGTATAGTACAAGGATGTATTTAAGATTTATAGGGTTAAAGAAAGAAATTCAGAGAAAAAAAATGGCAAACACGATAAAAAGAAGCAACCTCAGCAGATGCTAATTTTTATATACCATGGATTTGATCTATAGTTTCTACCTTAATTTCTACTATAGTCATCTACCTGTCTTCTACATCTACATCGTCTTCTACATCTACATCGTCTTCTACATCTACTTCTACATCTACATCGTCATTAAGAGTTAATCCTAGTAGATGGAGGGTAGATGACTCATCGAGTACATTACCATTCATAAATAAAGGAAGATCTAGATTTTTGCAATATTGATTAGCTGAAAAAATTGAGTTTAATTTGAGTTAAAGTTCACCAGCCGCTGAGAACCTCATGCTATAGCAGAAGTGAGATCTTTTTCAAGCTTAAATACCCCCTCCGAGCAATTAGAGAGTGTTGGCATCATATCAAGACAAGAATAAATTGTAGCATCATCAGTGAACAATGTCACCTTAGAAGTGAGAATTTCTTGAAAATCATTAATGTAAATTTAAAAAAGCATAGGGCCAAGGATAGAACCTTGAGGAACCCCTGAAGTTACAGAATATGAAGAAGAGTGAAAAAGAGAAGAAATTTTATACTATGATTGGTAAGGAAGGATTCAATTATCTTAACATACACTGTAAGAGAAGAGCTTATAGAGAAGACCAGCATGCCAAACTTTATTAAAAGCTTTAGAAATATTAAAAGTGATAACCTTAGCCTCTCCATATCTATTTTATGATAAAACTTATCAGCTAATACAGTTAACAAATCAACAGTAAAACAAAAAAATCAAAAAATATCAAAATCCATATTGATGATTAGAAAGTAAGTTCTTAGATTCTTTATTTAGTCATTTGAATACTTTTTCTACTCCTAACTTAAATAGCGGTTTATTGCAGCCTTGATAGGAGTGGCTTTAGTTGTAAAAAAAAAAAAATCTCAACCATATTCATATTAACAGCCATCATGATGGATTTAACTTATTTTTTTTATAAAGTTTCTTTATCAAGATTTGTGTTTACTGTTACACATTTAGAAGGTAAAAGGAATATATACATTTTTATACCAGTAGCTCCTAGTTTTTAAATGTGAATTTAACTAAGTTGTTGCAGCATCCATATAATTCAAACAAATAAACAGATATTAAAATGAAAAAACTTCAAAATAAAGCATAATAAAAAGTTTAAAAGACGAACTGAAGGGTTTAATAAAATTATCCTTATGGTCTTTTAATGTAAAAAAACAGCCGGACAATCCGTTTATCTCAATATTGTTATACACTTCATGGTGG